TATATATATTCCATCTAGGCCATCGTCATTTACTTGCACTAAAAATAATATTTCATGAACTCACCCAAAATCAGTTCATTTCTATGCTTATCATATTATTGCTAGTATTATTTCTTATACAATCCATATCATTAGTGTCATCTCGCTTGTAATCGTTCAATCAAAAAACAACTGAGAACAGTGTTGAAATGAAATCGAAATAATAATTTATTGTAGATAAATCACATCACAGCAATACCTAATCGTCCAAATCAAGATCATACCTCAAGCATATGCGCATCTTTACAACGTAACACACAGTGTGGTACGTGTAACACTGATGATAACTGTTCGCTATGGGCGCCGACCGAAGATTTCATAAAACAGAAAAATGTGAAAATTGAAAATGATTTGAAAATGCGACGTCGAAGTGAATGGAAGAGTTGAAATTGTCTTGCTGATAATGCATACTGACAGTGATAATGGCAATGATATGATGTTGATAGCACGTTCATCACCATTATTATTATTGCTATTATTATTATTATTGTTAGTAATAGTAGTAGTGTTCTTATTGTTATCTCATTGAAACATTTATTCAATCCAAACGACACTTTTCAACGTACTACTACTTCGCCATAATCATTCAGATATTCAGCATCGTCATTCATTGGAATAAACGAAAAGCAATCTGCAAACAAAACCAAGCGATAAAGCAATTAATTAAGCAATAAAACCTATCATGACAAGTAATAATCGCAATGACAAAAGAGGAAATAAAAACACCAAAATTTGAATCGACAATGCAATACTTATACTTGACACTAAACTGACTGCACCAAAACAAATGTATTTTTATAAGGCGATTGCAATCATCACTCATTTGACAATGTTTAAATGGTTCGACTGAGAGCAAAGAAATGAGTATTGAAATTTTGGTAATAACTGCCAATGCTTTTGGTTGAGTGAAGGGGGTGTGCGTTAATGTTGTTTAAGTTTGTTTGTGTATAAGTAAGTAATCATGAAAAAATTATGAGTAAATACCCTAAGGCCGTATATCTAATCATTGGAAGGCATCTTTTTCGACAGCAATGTCACATCTTATATTGGTATTCAATATTGATATTTATCTATCTATATGCACACATACTTACATAATATGATACAATCATAGACACTTCTTCTCTCCTTTAAATGAATATCATTCATTTATAGTACCACAGATAATGAATGTGACGCCTATCCAAGTGAAACTTCTGCACACACTATCCAAATGTTATCTCAGTTATTATTGAGTCAATTCATCCACCTATCATCCATCAGCTTAATTTCCACACCAGATATATTCATTCATTCAATCACGTCTCAATTAGATCAAGCTTCAATCACTGCAAAAGAAACATTACAGACTCTTCGCTCATTCAAGCTTGAAACAGTTGCACACCCAAATAACCAGCTCGATAGTTGCTCATTCAATCAACGACACCACCCAACAATCCACCTGTACGTTCATCCATCAAATGATGGACAGCACTATCATGCAAAATTTATATTTATAGCTGTGCGAGTTTGTATTACTTCTAAATTCAGTAACGATAAACAAACAAACGCATATTGACAGTGTTCGATAGGAGACTCGCTCTGTGCATCCGTTTCAATGAAGTGAGTTTAAAGAGGAAGTGAAGATAAGACGACACAAAATCAATCAATCTTCCATATATCCATCAAACAATCAATTAGTAAAACGATACTCGAAGATAACTTAGTTAATCACTAATTACTAATGAATATCCTTCCTTTATACTTTACACTTACTATTTATTTTGTTTGCTCTTTCTGTTTACTTATTTAACAAATTGTCGCATTTATATGTGACCACTTGAAAAATTTCTCGTAAATTTCAAAATACGCGAGCCCCATAGACTGACTCCTAATTTTACAAGTAAATGATAATAATAATAATAATAATAATAATAATAATAATAGTAATAAACATTTTGAAAGCAATCGTTATTATCATGAATCGCTCATCAGCAGTGACAGCAATATGAC